ACATTTTCTATTGTATCTCATTCTCCTCTTCCTCACAGAGAACCATCCCTCATTATGGGAATTTGAAAAAGGGAAGGGGAAGGGGGAAGCAGTTCAGTAAAACTAACCTCCATATCGACAAAGTCGAATTTTCTATGCAGTTCTCCACACCCAGAGTCTGCAAAAAAAAAAAATAGCTAGACAGGTGTCTTTTCATAGATCTTCCTTGGGGCCAAGAGTGGCCATTATTATTTTATAGCATTCTGTTATTCCTTTCATTTCCATGGTGGTTGTCATTATTTATGTTGCCAAGTTCCTGTCTGGATCACTTGATTCCACAGCAGCTCATCTCCAAATCCTTCACATTTGTCATTTCTTGTATCACAGTAATCTTCCATTTACCTTAGTAGACCACAATTGTTTAGCTATTCTCCAATTGATGGGTATCTACTTTGATCTTCGCAGCCACAGAAAGTACAGTTACAAAATATTTGGAAGCTTTTTGAGCCTTTCTTTTTGTCACCGAATTCCCTGGGGCATGTATAAGGAAGTCTTTTTTCACATCATCAGGCTTACAGCATACTCTGTGTATATGCGTGTGTGTGTATGTATGTATATATATATATGCGTGTGTGTGTGTGTGTGTGTGTGTGTGTATTTCTCACAATAACCCTATGGGGGGGGGACTATTATTATCCCCATTTTGTAGATGAGAAAACTGAGATGACTTGCTCAGTCACCCAGCCAGTAATTATCTGAGGCAGGATTTGAATCAGGTCTTCCAAGGCTACTGCTCTTATCTATGCACTCAGTCATCTGGATTTTGTATAGGGGACTCCTAAATGCAGCAACTCTTTCTCCCACTCTAAGGTTAGCGCCTTCTCTGCAACTTGGTCTTAGGGATCTTCCTGGGACAGTGCCATGATAATAATAACAACAACAATAATAGTAGCTAGCATTTATAAAGCACCTATTATGTGCCAGATGCTATACCAACTGCTCTCCACATTTGATCTCCACAGCAACCCTGGGAGGTGCTTTTATAATCTCCATTTTACAGATGAGGAAACTGAGGCACCCAGGGTTAAGTGACTTGCCCAGGGTCACATAGCTAGTAAGTGTCTGAAGCTGGATTTTAACTCAGGACTTCCTGATCCCGGGTCATGCGGCCAGACTGTGTCATATTTGAACACAGGTCTTCCTGATCCTTAAACCAGTTCTCTCATTGCTACTTCATGTTGCCACACTTTCAAATATAACTGGAGGGAATTAATACTTTTGGTTCCCGTGGTTGGCAAGATGGCAGCTCAAGTTGTTTTTGGCATAACTCCCTTACCTCACAGCTTCCAAGTGGCATGAAATTTGCCACATTTGTAGTCGTTAAATTTGCAGCAAATAGAGAAGTTGGAAAATACTCCCATACAAGTAACATCTTCTGAAATAACAGCAGCAGAAGACTGATGTGCCTGGAGCTTTCGCTCACCCTGACTGCTGGAGCCCACACATGGGCCACATCTTCAGAGTAAACAACCTGATGGGCTTGTGTTTCAGGCTCTGGCTGTGATGGCCTTTCCCCCGTCTCCTTATATTAGTGATTCAGTCTGATCTTCTGGTACTCTAGTATTTCAGTGAACGAGTGATCTCATCAACTCAGATGCAAGTTGCGACCCATCCATTTCTGTCCATCCTGTGCAACCTTCTCTCATCCGTGTTCTCCCATAAGTTTGTCATAGGAGACCTGCCCAAGGTGCTAAATTAGGCCTTTGACATTGAATAGATACCAAGGGAGCACTCTGGCTCTTCATTAGTTGTTTTTCACTCTTCTCTACGTAACACCACCCCCCCATATCTTTTTCTAGTCATCTCTTTCTCTAAGGACATCATGGCCACCACCACTTCTCTGATGTCATTCTTTGTTTGTCACGTATTGTTGCCTGCTCATGCCCACCATCGGATGAGCCTCAGATTCAATAATTCTCATTTCCTCCCCCTGTCCCCCTGTCCTGCCTACTGGTATTGTTCATCCCAGATAGATGGAAATACAGCATAGCAGTCAGAATATTGGACTTGGACTCAGGAAGTCTTGGCTTCGAATCTTTCCTCAGAAATCATCTAGCTCTGTGACTCTGGCCAGATCATTTAACCTCTCCAAGTCTTAGTTTCCTCATCTGTAAAATTAAAATAAGAATAGTACCTACCTCATAGTCATTTTTGAAGATTAAAAAAATATAAAATATATATATACATGTAAGATGCTTTGAAAATTCTTAAAGTGTTATATAACTATTATTGTTATTATTATTATTATTGATGACAAATTCTACATGTTGTCCACACAACTACTTATCTTAGTCTAGACAGTAGGCATTCTTCATCCACTTGGTTTTTCCTGTGTGAATAGTTGCCTGAACATAATGGGCACAATGTCATCCACGGGCAGGAGCATCTTAAAGATCCAGCCATCCATAGGGGGTCATTCCCCTTTATGAGCTTTTTGCCTTTCCTCCTCCATTATAGGGGGAAACTTTTTTTGCTGAGTATACAGCCAAGACCTGATTAATGCAAATAATCAATCCTTAAGTGAGCCCATTATTCAAATTCACACTGCATATTTCCACTGAGCTGAAACCAATTACCCTATTTTACATCATGATAACATCAAATAGTGTGAACTGAAATACGTGTGACCACTTCACAGGATTAATTATTCACAGCAATCAAGTCCTGGAGGTACATCTCCTTGTTTTATGCCTCACTAGATTTTAATAATCAGAGAATGAGTTGTCTAATTTAAAGTAGGAAATACGTATGATACCTACCAAGATGCATCAGTGATTCCTTACTACAAACACAAACTCCCCTCCCAAACATTTAAATGCCTTCCCAGCCTGACTCCAACTTGCCTTTCTGGCCTTATCACACATCCATACATTAGTCCATTTCACATATTCTACAATAGAAAGACTTTCTTGCTGTTCCTTACACATGACATTCTACCTCCCATCTCCAGGGCTTTGCATAGGCTGTCCCCCATGCCTGGAATGCCCATTCTCTTCACCTTCACCTCTTAGAATCTCTAGTTTCCTTCAAAGTTCAGCTCAAGTGCTACCTCCTGCATGAGGCCTTTTCCTGCCCCCTGCTAGTTGATAGCCTTTTTCCATGACAAAATTGCTTGGAATATATTTGTGTACATGTCATTTGCATATGTCATTTCCTCCCAGTAGAATGAACCTTTCTTGAGGTAGAAACTATCTTTTTCATTGCTTTTTCTTTGCCACTCAACACCTAGCAACGTATCTTGTGGTTAATAAATGTCTGCTGAATTAAATTGAATAATGAGGCAACGTGGTGTAGCAAATAGAGAGCAGGCCTCAGAACCGGGAAACCAGGGTTCAAGTCTCACCTCTGACACCTACTGTCTGTGTGACCCTAGTCAAGTCACTTTACCTTTTAGGGCCCCCAGACAGTTTGCGAAAACCAGAAATTGTAGCCCTTGGGTCAGTCTACATTAGCAGAGGGAATTTACACAGTAGGAGTTCCCTATCCAGATGAAAGAACAGGTCCAGACCAGTGTATGTAGATAGGTATAGAAAGTTCTCTGTGACAGTTGAGACTGATTGTTGAGTTCTCAATGCCATAGGGAGATTAGAAAAGACCTTGCTTTGAAGATTTGAGGACTCACTCTCTTCTCCAGATACCTCCAGAGCAGGGCTTCTTAACTTAGTCTGTGAACTTGATTCTTAAAAATAATTCTAATTAGTGTGTTTCAATATAATTAGTTTCCTTTATAATTCTCTGTACTTCATTTTATGCATTTGAAAATATTCTCCTGAGAAGGGGTCTACAGGCTTCACTCAAGGTGTCCATGGCACCCAAAAGGTGAAGAACCCCTACATCTGTAATCTTTTAAATTCAGTCTCCTGGGGTGCAGGCACTTGGACCAAGGGACCATTAGAGCACAGGAATCTTATTCTGTGCTCCAAAAAAGAACACCATGATGTGACCTTTCTGGTTCCCAGAATAGTGGCCATTAAGACCAGAGGTTCTCAACATTTTTTGTCTAAGATCCCATAGAAGGTAGTCATTCTGATGAAGTCTATGGTCCTCTTTTCAAAATCTTGTTTTTAAATGCATAAATTAAAATACATAGGAATACAAAGGAAACTAATTATGTCGAAAAAGTTATGTGAATATTTTAAAACAAATTCAACATGGGCTATTCCCATCTTTTGTCATCTGTTGCAATTTGGTGAGTGTGAGGTGAATCTTCAGAGTTGTTTCCATTTACATTTCTCTTCCTATTAGTGATTTGGAGCATTTTTCATGTAGCCATATATGTTTCTTTTGAAAACTTTTTTTAATATCCTTTGGCCAGTTATTGGGGAATGGATTTGGGGCATCCTATATTTGCATCAGTCCACTGTATTGTGGGTTTCATCAGTGATTTCTGAGACTTTCCCTCTCTGCTATTTCTTTTCTGGTTCTGTCTTCATTTTATTTGTGCAAAAAAATTATATTTCATGTAATCAAAATTGTCTTTTTATCTTTTTCGATCTTCTATATTCCTTTTTAGTTAAGAATTCTCCCCCTAAACATATTGTGACCTGATCTCATTCTCTTCTAATTTTTTATGGTGTTACCTTTTACATTCAAATTCCATATCCATTTTGAGATTATTATGGTATATGGTGGAAAATGATGATTTAAATCTAATTTCTGCCAAACTGCTTTCCAGTTTTCCCAGAACTTCTTGTCAAAAAAGGAGTCCTTGCCCTAGTAATTTATTGAGTTTATGAACCACTGCCCCTGAGGTATCACCTGACCTTGTCATGCTGTTCAATACTCCAAAACCCAATCCAGCCCTTTGTTTGAGAAAATTCCCCAGTTCCTTCATGGCCAACTCCCCTGAGCAGAGAGGAGTAGTCATGTCACACAGAGAATCCTGGGAGTATTCTGTCTTGGCCTTTTTGATTCTGCCACTTTCTGATGTATGTCTCCTTGTCTGTACCCTTCCTTTCCAGATTGGAAGCTGCCAGGGACCATGTGTTGCCCATTGACTATTACTTTCCACCACAAAAGACCTGTCTTATCTGTGGCGATGAAGCTTCGGGCTGTCACTATGGGGCACTCACCTGCGGCAGCTGCAAAGTCTTCTTCAAGCGAGCAGCAGAAGGTAAACGGGCCTTCCATCTTCCCTATGTCTTCCTTTTCCACTCCTGGTACTGATAGCGGCCCTCCTGCTCCAGAATTCCCTAGGCTTCTGAGGCCTTGGCTGGGCCTCTCTTGGAAGGTCAGTTCCTCTGACATGGAGGGGCCTCCAGCACTGCTCCACCTGGCACTGATGGCTGTGCCAACAGTGGCTTTTCCCTGGCTCAGGCAGAACCCTGTGAGGTAGACAGAGAAATGCACGTGGTCCCAGCTGCCCTTTGGGACTCTATCACTGAGATGAAAGACAATGGAGGATTGAAAAAAGATTTCAATTCCTTTCCACTTGGATTTCTCTCCAAAGCCTTGAGAAGGAGGAAGTCTATTTGTTGGCAGGATCTATAGACAGAAGGCTCCTAAAAAGGTTCCCCACCTTCTTCCTCTGACCACAATAAACTCCTGCTATCTGTTGGGGGGCCCATTACCAGCCTTCAGAACACTAGCAGAGCCCATGGCAATAGCATTGCGAGGTTTACAAACATCTTCCTCACCATCATCCTGTGATTTGGGGTAGTAGCTCCATTTTGATAGAGGAAGAAACTGAGGCCCAGGAAAGGGAAGGGACTTGTCTAAGGTCACACATAGGGTCCTTCCTAGATCTAGAGCTGGAAGGGACTTTGGAAGTCATCTGGTCTGGTTTTCTCATTCTACAGAGGGGGAAACTGATGCTCAGAGGTCAAGGGACTTGCCTAAAGTCATGCAGGTAATGTGTGTTAGAGCCTAGATTCAAACCCAGGTTCCAAATCAAAAGCCACTGCACCACACTAACTCTATCAGCAGCAGTTTGCTCATGCTCCACACTAGATAGTAGCAGGTCTGAGATTTGAACCCAGCCCTTCTCACACCCCAATTTATCAATCTTTCTGCCGCACCAACTTGCTAGCTATTTTCATTCCTGTTGACTCTCAGTCAGTCAACAGGGAGGATGTATTAAGTGCTTACATACCAGGCACTGGGGTTACAAAAATCCAATAGTGCCTGTCCTCAAGGAGCTTACATTCTAATGGGGAAGCCATGCATCAGGACAAGATACGTGGAGAGAAGGTAGAACAGAACCTTAGAAGGGAAGGTCCTAGTGGCTATAGGGGCTGAGGCAGAAGGAAGATCAGGAAAGGGAAAGGGGAGCTTGACCTGAGGCTTACAGGAAAGCCAAGATTCTAAGAGGCAGGGCCACCCCCAGAGAAGAGGGCAACAGTGGGGTGGGATGGGAAGAAAAGCTCCCATTCTGAAGAGTCTCCAGATCACCCTGCCAAAAGGTTGTTGACTGTTGCTGTTAAGTCATTTTTCAGTTGTGTCCAACTCTTCGTGACCCCATTTGGGGTTTTCTTGACAGAGATACTGGAGTGGTTTGACATTTCCTTCTGAAGCTCATTGACAAATGAAGAAACTGAGGCAAACACAATTTTCCCAGGGTCACACAACTAGAAAGTGTTTGAGGCCAAATTTGTACTCAGGTCTTTCTGGCTCCAGGCCCAGAGCTCTATCCACTGCAGCGCCACCTAGCTGCCCCTATTGACTGTTGTTAACCAAAACTGATGGCCCCTCATCTCCTTCAAGCAAGGAGCCTGTCGGCATCTGGAACATGTGCTGTCATGATGGTCCAGAGTGCTTTGGGGTTAGCGGAGTGGGCATTCCACTGAGGGCATCAGCGGCCCTAGATTCAAGGCTGAGCTCCTCCACTTGCTAGTTATGTGATTGTAGGAAAGTCCTGGGTCCTCTTTGAACCTCTGCTCTCGCATCTATAAAATGAGGACAGTCATTCAGACCCTGTGCTCCTCACTGGGTTATTGCTGCTAGATCATATTAACCATAAAGTGTTGAACAGATGAGAGGCGAAAATGGCAGAATGGATAATGGTGGTGTGTCCTTTGGTCTCTACCATTGGTGGGCCTTAGAAACCAGAGATAACCCTTTCACTCTTGGGAGGGCAGGAGTTCTCATTAGCAGGATCTTCTTAAAGATTCCCCTCCATTTCCAAGCCCCTGCCTCCCCCACAAGGAATCGGCACTTCTGTTCCCCCTCCTCTCTGGCACAGGCCCAGAATATAACGCCCAGAATCTTTGAGTTGAAAGGCTTTGAGTAGCCATCTCAACCCTTTCCTCTATTTATACCATTCCATCCAATCAGGAAACATCCATTTATTAAGCAATTAATATGTGCCAGGCACTAGGAATACAATCAAGTGAGACTACCCAGTTTCTAATTTGAATACCTGGGGTGATGAAAAGCTTCCTACCTCCCAAGTTCCCTCGATGGCCAGCTCTAACCATTGGGAATTTCTACCTCCTGTTGCATCCATATCTGCCTTCCTGTTACCATTTGCTGATGTCCCAGTCTCTGCCCTGCCTCCTGGAGTCATGTGACAGCCCTGCAGATACTCCTCCTCCTCTAACACCTCTCTACTCCACGTCCCCTATTCCTTTGACCAAACTTGGTGTCCTCTTCTGTCCTCTATATATCCTGCTTTTATCATATTCTAGACCCTAGAACTAGTGCTGGAAGGAGGCCTAGAGAGGTCCTTTAGTCCCCCTCCCCCATTTTACAGAAGTGACTTGCCCAAGGTCACATGTAGGATTCTAAAGCTGGAGCTCTCCTTTTATAGAAGAGGAAACTGAGGCCCAGGGAAGGGAAATAACTTGTTCAAGATCACACAGGGGATTCTAGAGCTCGAAGGGACCTTCCAGTCTGACTCGCTCATCTTACAAATGATAAACTGAGGCCCAGGGAAGAGTAATGACCTGCCCAGGGCCACGGAGGTAGTAAGTGGAAGAGGTCAGATTTGAACCAGGGCCCTACAGCTCTAATTCTATTTCCCCCATACCATCCTGCCCTTCATGCACTTCAGTTTGTCAGTATCCTTCCTAAAATTACAGAATCCAAACTAGAAGGGCCCTCATTGACTGTCCCATCTAACACAAACCAAACTGAGTCTCCCCACTATGCCTATCCAACAGGTGCTTGAAATTCTTCAAAGCACCATTAAGAACTACATTTTTGCCTGATGATTTTCACCATGGCACCAAGAACCTAGCTTAATTTTCTAGATGTGGGGTCTGACCAGGGCAAAGGCTCATGGTCTAGCTTTCCTCATTCTGGACATTATTCTCACTGAGTACAGCCTGAGAACTAATCAATGTGCCGCATCTCCCTGGTGTCACAGACTGAGCTTGCAGTCCACTAAGGCCCGCAGGATCTTTTTCTTCCATTTGGTTTTTGGGCCAATGCACAGCTCTGTGTCTTTCTGTATCTAGTTGGTCTCTGGTTGCTTGAAGGTACTCACTCACAAGGAGTGCTGAGGAAGGAGTAGTGGTCCTGTCTTGTTAGAGGCTTCTCTGTGGTAGAGATAAGGGAGGCATGGACCCTACCGTCTCACTCTCCTCCTCTAAGCTGAGAACCTTCTTTAGAAAGTAGCACAATTGGCTGTCATCCCAAAAAAGGGAGCCTTCCCTGGGCCTTAACTCAGGTGCCTGATCCAGCCCTTCCTTGGCTTGGCCCGGGCTGTTGAACCTAGAGCCAGAGACAGGGCTTATGTAAGGGTCATAAACAACATTGGTGGGTTCCTGGAATCTAGGACAGAGGCAAGACAGGGAGGGGGGTGATGCTCAGCCAGCTGTCTTCTCCCTGATGGAAAAGCAGAATGGAGACCCAATGTTGTTCCTGAACCACCTCTAGTTTGCTCTGTTGCAGCAGTCAGTCTCTGATTTGAGGTAGCTGTAGTGTACGGAAAGGCCATCGGGCCTGGAGTTGGGAGACCTGGCGTCCAGTGCTGACTCTGCCTTTTCCCAAGGGGATCACCTTATCTCTCACCTTGGAAAAATGGGACTTAGATACCTTAGGCTCTCTCCCTCCCAGGACTGGGGGGACAATTAAACAGGATTATCGGATCCCAGACCTAGACTTCAGATGCCAGCTGGTCCAACACCCTCGTTTTACAGGGGAAGAAACTAAGGCCTAGGGAGGGGGAGGAACTTGCCCAAAATTGCACACAGGATCCTAGATATAAACCTGAAAGGGATCTCAGAAGTCAGCCAATCACCCCTCCCATTTTACAGAGGGGGAAACTGAGGCTCAAGGAAGGGAAGTGTCCTGGCCAAAATCACACATAGAATCCTACATGTAAGCCTGAAAGGTTCATTTCTCCCATTTTACAGGGAAGGAAACTGAGGCCCAGGGAAGGAAAGTGACTTGCCCAAGGTCACACAGTTCTGGAGCTGGAAGGGACCTCCGAAAATTCACACACACACATACATACCTTATTTAAAAAAAAAATTACTTATTTCTTTTTGGTTTTCAACATACATTTTTATAAGACTTTGAGTTTTAAATTTTTCCCTCTCCCCCCTCCCCAAGACAGCATGCAGTCTGATACAGGCTATACATGTACAATCATATTAAACATATTTCCATATTAGTCATGTTGTAAAGAAGAATTAGAACCAAAGGGAAAAACCGTGAGAAAGACAGAAACAAAAAAAGAAGAGAGAGAAAGAGAGAAAATAGTCTGCTTTAATCTGCATTCAGACTCCATAATTCTTTCTCTAGATATGGATAGCATTTTCCATCATGAGTCTTTTGAAACTGTCTTAGATCGTTGTATGACTGAGAAGGGTTAAGTCTATCAATATCAGTCATCGCACAACGTGGCTGTTACTGTGTACAATGTTCTTCTGGTTCTGCTAACTTCACTCAGCATTAGTTCATGTACATCTTCCTTCCCAGGTTTTTCTGAAATCCACCTGCTCATCATTTCTTATGGAACAATAGTGTTCCATCACATTCACATACCACAGCTTTTTCAGTCATTCCCCAGTTGATGGGCATCCCCTCGGTTTCCAATTCTTGACCACCACAAAAAGAGCTGCTATAAATATATTTTTGTACCTGTGGGTCCTTTCCCCATTTGTATGATCTCTCTGGGATACAGCCCTAGAAGTGCTATTGCTGGGTCACAGGGTATGCACATTTTTA